AAAAAAAAAAATTGGCTTAATACAAGCGTTTTGGGGACCAAGTGCAATTGTGTATGAAAGGGTTTGTAAAATGCTAATCAAACAGGTATTTGGGCCTCGCTCCTGTGTAAAAGCACTGTATCGCCTACCCCCCAATTTGGAAAGTTAGAATTAAGGATTTAAAAAAGGAATGGGGGGGCAGCACCTGTGGCTCAAAGGAGTGGGGCACCAGTCCCATATGCCTGAGGTGGCAGGTTCAAACCCGGCCCCAGCCAAAAACTGCAAAAAAAAAAAAAAAAAAGGAATAAGGGGGAGTAATGAAGAATGGGTGTCTACTGTGTGCCAAGCATGTTACATACATTTTATTTACAATTCTGTCAATCCCTTAAAGTAGAATCATAATGATGGGAACCCTGACCTGAGCTTGCATGAGGTTAGAGCCCATGGGCTTTTCCTGGGCCATGGAACCTCTCCTAGCAGAAACTGCAGGCTGAACACCAAATGGGTTAAGGAAGTTTCTTTAGATGATGGAAAGTAGATCAGGCTCGGCGCCTATAGCTCAACCGGCTAAGGCGCCAGCCACATACACCTAAGGTGGCTGGTTCGAATCCCCAGCCCGGATCCGCCAAACGACAATGACGGCTGCAACCAAGGAATAGCCGGGCGTTGTGGCAGGCGCCTGTGGTCCCAGCTACTTGGGAGGCAGAGGCAGGAGACTCGCTTGAGCCCAGAAATTGGAGGTTGCTGTGAGCTGTAATGCCAGAGCACTCTACGCAGGGGGACAGCTTGAGGCTCTGTCTAAAAAAAAAAAAAAAAAAAAAGAAAGTAGATCAGAAGTAGATTCCTGAAGGAGGAGTTCCCTAACCTTTAAGGGTTGCCTTATGTGGGGCAACCATACAAACTGTCTGTGAGTGGGTCCCAGTGTCTGGGTCCCTGTGCCAGCGAGGGCTGTCAGCTATAGCCACTGTGTGCTGTGGCATTCTCCAGGAAACCAAAATCACTTCCAGAGAAGCAAGTGCTTTCCCTATAAGGCTGGCTTTGCCGTCTCCAGGGGACTAGAGGCCAAGTGAGCTGCAGCGGGAAGACTGGTCACCTCGCGCTGTCCTGCCTGGTCCCAGGCCACCCGAGCTTCCCTCATCCTCCACCAGAGGTCCCCCCCTGGTGAGACTCGTCCCAGTGCCCTGTCCCTGCGGGGCCTTGGCCTGCCTCCCAGGTTTGCAGTTGCGGTTTATTTTTGGCACTTCAGCCTTTGGTCATCAAGTAGCAAAACCGAAAAGAACAGCAAGATATCGTACTCTGGCCACAAGTGTCTGCTTGGGACACAGCTTTAGCCGTCTGTGGTCCCCTCTTTCCTCAGGGGCTCTGGGACCTTTGGGATTCTTGTCAAGTTCATTCGAGGACCTGCAAGGACCTAACGGTGAGTGGCCAGGCCAACAATGGACAAAAGCCAGGCAGCAGGTGGGGAGAGGGGAGGCTGTGGGGTGGAGGAGACAGAAACCTCTAAATCCATTAGTTCCATTACTTTTCTCTGTTGAAGGCTGTTGGACAGACCCAGGAGAGTGGCCCAGTGACTCTTGAAATTACCCTCTGGGGGAGTTTTCTACAGAAAGTGGGTCCCTGTGGCTGTGTTTTTAGACCTTCTGAGTTTGGAGGAGAAGGATATTACATTTCAAAAAGGACCAAGCCTGTTCCCATTTGGGAAACTCTCCAAAGAGGGCTTGGGGAAAATGTAAAGGATGGGTGGGACAGCAGACTGAGGCACAATATTGGCCTCAGTAAGGTCTCAGGGCAGGGAAGGGGGCAAGATAAACACCTTCTCCAGACCCTCAGGAATAGTGAGAGCAGCCAGAACCTGGCCAAGCTAGTTGTGCCAGAAAAAGGAGCCTCAGGTTCAGGATGGCACTGGGTGCGTGGGTGGAAGGTTTGCAGGCCAGAGAGGGTAGGAAGTTGGTGCAGCTCAGCTCTAGAAGGTGAGGGACACAGATGCTCATCTTAGAAACTTAGGATTTGCCAGGAAATAGGCTTGTTTTGTGGGAAACAGAGACTACAGGGCCCCCTCATGTTGCTGGTGGGGCAGAGGCGGCCTGTGAGCAGCCCAGCTGCCTGCTGCTGGCAGACAGCATTTGCTATTCTAAATCTTTCTCTGGTAACCAGGCACCCAGTAGCAAGGACACCAGGATTCCTGGAACAACCAGCCTGATCTCTGAAGCAGCCAAGACTGCTGCTTGGCTGGTCAGCAAATTAGCTCCTTTGAGAGGCCAGGCCCTCCTGGGTCCACAAGAAGCAAGGGAAGTGGAGCTAGAGGTAGCTTATGCCTGTTTGCCTGCTCTCTGTTTGTTGGTAGAGGATTTCCTGCATTCTTCAAATCCTGCATCTGAGGCAGGAGTTCAATTCCCTGCTAGGAGGCTCTGTGTTCCTAAAGCAAGGCCAGCCCTGCTCGGTGCCTGTGGCTCAAGTGGCTAAGGAGCCAGCCACGTACACCCAAGGTGGTGGGTTAGAATCCAGCCCGGGCCGCCAAACAACAATGATGGCTGCAACCAAAAAATAGTCAGGCGTTGTGGCGGGCGCCCCTGGGCCCAGCTACTTGGGAGGCTGAGGCAGGAGACTCGCTTGAGCCCAGGAGTTGGAGGTTACAGTGAGCTGAGATGTCACGGCACTCTACCCAGCTTGAGGCTCTGTCTCAAAAAAAAAAAAAAAAGATGGCCAGCCCGCTCAGCCCTTCTGTCCTGGCCTGAGCATCCTGGCTCTGTACTGCCCCACACTTGAGCAGTCTCCCTCAAGGGCTCAGTGGCCATTGTTATGTAGGATTTGGGGCATCCCGCCAGCAGGACCCTAGACCAAAGGCACACCTACCCAAACACCAGCTCACGTCCCGGGAGCAGCACCTGCTGTGCCTACACTGGGCACAGAGGACAGAGATGGCTGGGACATGTAAAGGAGACCACCATCCACTGGGGGAGACGGCAGCACACACTGACGCATGATACCAGGGTGGGGACTAGGACTCACCCACCCAGCTCAGCATCCCTCAGAGCACTGGGCATGGTACTTGGCAAAGAACAAGTGTTCAATGTCTGTAGAATGAAGAAGGAATGAGGGAATGAGTGAGTGACTGTCAAAGTCCATGTTACAGACAGAATGAGCGAGGAAGGAGCAGTGGGAGGAACTGCAGGAAGCATGTTCTGGAAGGAGGGATGTTTTCAGGGTGGGATGGTTACAACTGGGGGCAAATGCAGAGATGCCATAGGTATGGCATGTTGAGAAGGAAATTCTGGCTGGGTACAGTGGCTCACACCTGTAATCCTAGAACTTTGGGAGACCGAGGTGGGTAGATCCTTTGAACTCAGAAGTTCAAGACCAGACTAAATAAGAATGAGACCCTCATCTCTACTAAAAATAGAAAAACTAGCTAGGCGTTGTGGTAGGCACCTGTAGTCTCAGCTACTTGGGAGGCTAAGGCAAGAGGATCACTTGAGACCAGGAGCTTGAGGTTGCTGTGAGCTATGATATCATAGCACTCTACCAAGGGTGACAAAGTGAGACTCTGTCTCGGAAAAAAAAATGAAGGAAATCTTGCAGCTTCTTGCCTTTTCCTCAAGTGCAGAGAGCAGACAGAAAAGAGGACCAGCCTCATCTCCTCAGAATGGAAAGGAAACTGCACTTTAATTTGTTCTCTGCAATTTCTTTATGGTTCTTTCTAAAATCAAGGGTACAGTGGCTAACCTTGGGCCCAGGCCTGGCTGACTATCTGCTGCCCCCTCTCGCCAAATGTAAGGAGCCACATGGTCTCCTGGGGTCACAGGGGGAGAGAGCCAGTGGGAAGATGCAAGCTGGACTCTTCCCAAAGCTCCAGGCAATGATCAGGAGGAAAAGCCAGAAGGGAAGCCAGGGGATGGGTGCCAGAAAGGGGTAGGAAGGCAAAGCTGGCTAAATTGTTTTTTGGGTTTTTTTTTGAGACAGAGCCTCAAGCTGTCACCCTGGGTAGAGTGCTGTGACATCACAGCTCATAGCAACCTCCAACTCCTGGGTTCAAGCGAGTCTCCTGCCTCTGCCTCCCAAGTAGCTGGGAC